CCTCCCCAGTCCCAGGCTTGAGCAGCTGAACCCTCCTGGTGTAGCAGGAGGGACCGGCCAAGGGTTGGACCTGGGGACGATGCCCTGGGTGCATTCAGCCCCCTGATGCTGGACACCCAGGGGATGGTGGCAAGGGACACGAACAAAAAAAAAAACAAACAACAAAACAAAACCAAAACCAAACGACCAAATCCTAAACAATCTGCCACTCTGTCTCAGTCCTGAAAAGCCTCGTCCTCAATGATTTATGCAACTCAGAATAACATTTCCCAAATGGTTTTCATCTGGGTGCTCTGGTTCTCTAATGTGCCCATCAGCAAACCCCATAGAAACCCATTCTGACAAGGTTATATTGCCTCAAGATGCTGATGAGTATCTGCTTCGCCCTCCTAATGCACTAACAGGATAAATAGTACTGGAGAGAGGTAAAACCAGGGGGCAGGCGCGGGAAACACATTGCCGGGGTGTTTGGGGCTGCAACCCGCCCCATCCCATCCCATTAGGGCAAATCTGGCTCTAGAATCAGCTTTAACTGAACGCCAAACCTTGGGAAAGGATATTGCAAATAAAGGGATCTGGGTTTTGCCACTCTCTACTTGGCATTTATTGGGCTTTCTAACCGGCAGTCCCGCTTGCAGACTCAATTCTCTTCCTCCTCCCTGCAGAAAGAAGCTGCTTTCAAAGCTAACAAGTTATTTTTTTTATTGTGATGCCAAGTTAACACAAGACCTCAGATATTGGTTTTGTATTATTGCTTACTTCACAAAGTGCCGATATAAGGAAATACGTTGGGAGGCTGCGTGTCGTACTGTGGGGTACCAAATTCCTCTCCCACTGGAGAGAGCCGATGACATTAATTAAACGGCACGAGAGAGATTTAATGTTTTCCCCAGCTGAAGAGAGTTTTGCTCCCTGGCCCAAGCAAAGTGTTTCTCATGCCTTTGCAGGAGACAAACACCTTTGTATGGACATCAGCTATCAAGGGCTGCAATCAAAGCCCAGTACTTTTATTAATTTAAAAAAAAAAAAGAAATAAAGGAACAGAGTAGAGTTCTGGTGAGCCCCAAGCTAAAACAACAACAACAAGACAGGAATGGAGGTGGGAGGACAAATGTTTAAAGCTACATATGACCTTCAGAAATATTACGGAATTTGCGTGCTGGACTTAAGATCAAAATCTAAACTAAGGACTAGTTGATGTGAAAATTTATTTTTTTATATAGAACAATCCACTCTCGTCCTCCACACAATGTTATCTGGATTTATAAGATACCAGCCCTTGCCCTCCAGAGAGAAAACAGCTTTTCCCTGTATTTTTTTTTTGGTTAAAAGGGTTGGGTTGTTTTTTTTTTTCCTGTGGGTCAGACTATTTATTTTTCAGTGACCTGGCTTAATCTTTTTAGAAAAAAAAAAAAAAAAAAGAGAAAAGGATAAAGAATTGAGCAAACAAGCTTAGATGCTCAGAAATAAGCTTGGAAGGGTAAATTCCCATGAGTTTTGGAAGCTGCACAGAACTTGGCATCCTACACGTGCCCCCTCGCAGTGCTTTGAGAGTGCTTCCCATTGCATGAGTGTGGGGTTTTTTTTTTCAAGAAAAATCTGGAAACAAAACCTCACTAAACCAGGTTACACCGAGGTTGGCTAAAAGGCCAAGAGAAAGAAAGGATATAAGCAATGACAAGGAAAGGATATTTATAACGTACATCCAGTTGGACTGATCTAACCATCGTATGTAATACAGGTTAAAAAAAAAAAATAATAATAATGGCTTTCTAAAAAGAAAAGTCTGAAGGTTGGGCCTGCAGAAATACCAACCACAGCACCCAACTGAGCAGGCAGCTGTGGGCCTCCGCCACGGGGGGCGTCTCCCCACCTTCACATGGGTGTCAGACACACTGTGTCAACCAACCGGACCATGTTTGTGGTCTCTGGTCAGTATATTTGCACACTGGATTTATTTTTGAATATCCAGACCTTGGGTAAAGGTTGTAAGGCCCGTTCTCAACCCTTACTGTGTCTGTCTGTCTTCTGCCACCCAGCGATGAAGACAACAAACCCCTGCCAAACAGTCAGACCTCCTTGGACGGCACGATAAAGCAGCAGGAGAGCGACGATAGCCTGGTGGACTATGGAGAGGGGGGAGAAGGGCAGTTTAACGAGGACGGCTCCTTTATCGGCCAGTACACGGTGAAGAAGGACAAAGAGGAGACCGAAGGCAACGAGAGCTCGGAAGCCACCTCCCCAGTCAATGCTATCTACTCACTGGCATAGCGCAACGCACTGAAACCACAAACAGCCCGAGGTGTTCGTAGTGGATGGGGGTTAAACAACAACCGCCGCCGCCACTACCTCCAACAGAAGCGTGTGAATGAAACCAACCAACAGCGACAAAACAAAAAAGAAAAAAAAAAAAAAACAAAAAAGAAAAAAAAAAGAAAAAAAATCCAAGCAAGCAAACAGGCAGACCAGGTGGCTGCCGATGCCATCTTATCCTTAGCAAACAAGCGAACGGCAAGGACTCCCGGGGCGCGGATGGGTTGTAGCTGTAGCTGAAATCTGGGCTGAGCCAGAGGGGCTGGAGGAGGAGTGGGGTGCTCCAGCTGCACCCCAGCTTCGGGGCTGGCCCCAGCACCCAGAGCCAGCCCGACCAGGCAGTGGGGCTTGGCCGCCCAGGCTCCCCGAGGCCCTTTTTGTTCTTTTGGGAGGGAGTTAAAAATTCTTCTTTTTAATCTTTACAGGAAGGTTCCAGTTAAGAGGGGAACAGGGGGGAAAAAAAGACAAAAAAAAAAAGGTTTGGGGAGGGAAGAGGGGTGAGCGGGGCCTGGGCGGAGCAGCATAAATGCACGCAAGGAGGAAAGTGGTGGATCTTTGGGTAACGACCCCACGGCACTGTGTTATGAGATGCTCATCCTCACAGCAGCACCTCGCCCACAGCTTCCCCCCACCCCGAGACTAGTCAGCGCCACAAGCTCCTTCCCGAAAGATCTATGCAGGGAAGAGCAGGTCCCCACCGCTTCCCCTGGCGCCGTAACTCGGCTCCACGGTCCATCCCCTCTGCAAAGGCCATAGGGAGGTCACCCCCCACCCCGCGGGGCTCCGGAGCATCCTCGGAGGAGCAGGAGTTGCAGAAGAGCTTGTGGGATTTGTGGAAGGACAGTCAGGTGCCGCTCGCCCTCCGAGCCCAGGATAACAGCACGGCTTGTCTGGGGAGCTGCAGGGAAATCATTTTGGTTTAGTCTTTGCTTTTGTAAGAATTTGGGGGGGGGGGGGGAAATCCCCCCAGACCATGCCTGCTTTCTTTTAAAGGCAACTCCATAAGTCTTATGTAGCAAAGAGGGAGCGGAAACAGGATGGGTGTTAACATAGGATGAGGGGACCAGGTATCACTTATTTAAAAGACACAACCAACCAACTCAAAGCCGCCCGATCAAGGTGAGAAGCCCCACGGGGGTCGGGTAGAGGATCCCCTGCTCTCGCCCTGCACCGCAGCTCCCGGTCAGCAGCTTGAACGGTTCAGGGACACGCGTCCCTCGGGAGACAGGGAGGAGGGCAGGCGGTGGGAGCGCAGGACCCGAGGTCCGCACCTTCCCGAGGCACTGGGGATGAACCGGATCGACAGTGTTTTCCACTAAATCCCCCTCCTCGTTTCTGACAGCGGCCTTCCCCCCCTGCCCCCCCATCAATCAGCCTGAGCGAGACCCTTCCACAAGCGACCGCCTGCACCGCAGGACCCCCCTCCGCTGTCTTATTTACATATCAAGACAACATGCAATTTAATTTAACCCGTTAACACACTGTAACAAAGCGTCTCGGATAGGAGTGCTCCTTCACATGCCTTACACAGCTTCGAACTTCCCGTGAAGTTTAATAAACTGACACTACTCCCCCACCGCTTACGCGCCCCTAACGCGATGGTCTTCGATCCGCCAGACCAGTAGGAGTAGGACGCCTGGGCAGCTCTCCCAGCTGAGACAGCATGGATCACTGTAGAAGGTAGAGTTTTATAACAGACCGTACTTAGCGGCCAACGCCATGTGTATTCTCCCACTTCCTGCACTTTTGAAACCAAAGGTACCTTCGCTGAGAGAGATTGGATCGCTTCAGACCGTTTTTTCACAGACGGCAAACGACGTTAGGATGGATTTTTCTTGCGTTTCTTTTTCTGAAGGAGGAGGGTTTTGTTCAGCATAATGGACTGAATGCGATAGGATTAATGCAATTATTCTTTTAGCTTTCGAGCTGGTTTGCTACGAAGACATACTGCTAACAAGAATACGTCTACTAATACTGATTGTCGAGATGGGCTTTGCCACGTTCTTTTAAGCTGCTAATGGCACAACTATCCCGCGCTTCGGGGAAGAGCCTGGACCTGGTCAGCACTTACTGCTGGATCGCCCCGAGGGAACAGCAGAGAACTGGATGCAAACCAAACAGCAAAGGGGCTACATGCACCATATGAGCCAAGGAGGGTTTAGGCTGGTGTTAACAGGCAGAGCCCCCTCCTAGAGTTGGGGGGAGCTACTGCTACCCCAGGCAGCACAGGAACGTCCCCCCTCCACCGCCCCGGAGCCCATTTGCCAGGGTCGTCCATCCGTGACATCTTACCGAGTAGGAGCCACACACCTTGCTCTGTTACCATCAGTGTAAACGCTTTCGTGCAACAACAAACCTACTCTACTGCTGCCACTCGCCACCGATCCGGTTTAAGGAGAGCGTCTCCCAGCGCGTTCCCGGGACACACGTTCAGATTTTAAGCAAAAACAGGACGCCAAATGTAACGCAGCCCTTGGTCACAGGAATAATCACTTCACAAGCCTACGGCTGTCCTTACAACGCTGAGTTGGTGTAGCTTCTTGCCCAAGCACTTGTGGAAGTGAGGAGAGAAAGAAACTACAGCCTTTGCTGTGGAAAAGCCTCTGCTGCTGGAGCTGGGCATCTTCATTCACCCCCAGCACGCCAGATCCTCGCTGCTTTGTGGGCCAACCGCTAATAGGGAACACAAGCCCCTTGGCTACCACGCAGCACCTCCAAACCTCAAGAAAGTTGGTCAGGCATTACTGGAAGCAGGGCGGTCTGTGTCATGTGTCTGTATTACGTGCCATTTATATTAAAGCCTGTATTTCTGTCCTGTCATTAACCACCATTTTCCTGAGCAAACCTCTTAGCATCCATCTGGAAACAGAGAAGAGTTTCACCCCGTAGCTTTGCAGCACGTGCCCGGTGGTGTGCCTCAGCAAGCAGGGAGAGAAGGAGCTGGACTCAGCCCAGCCAGTCCTGTCCTTGCCCAAAGTCTTGCAAAAAAACCCCAAAACCCATGTAAGGTCCTACCACCATGTTACTTTAAGCAGCCAGAAAAGGAAGGAGATGTCTGCGGAGGGCCCAGAGGACAAACAGCTCAGTCTAAGTTACTTGTAGCCTTGTATTAGCTTGGTATAAAAACTGCTCCAAAATTATAAGTTATAGTAAAAATTTCAACATTTCTTTAAAACTTCCCCTAGAATTTTTGAGCTCAAAGAAAATTTTAAATCAAAACACATACAGAGCTTAGCATTTTTCACTCCCTTTAACGAAGGTGCAGTAGATGATTCCATGTGCAGCTACAGCGTCGCAGGGAGCAAAGCCCTCGCTTGCTGCGACCACCAAAACCACCCCAAAAAATGCATTTTCCCCCCAGAAACAGCCAGGCTGCACCCCCAGGGGCATCGTGGCCACGCTCCTGCCGAGCACGTGTCCTTTGAGCAGCAGGAGGTGGATGCGGACCCCGCGCGAGGGCCGGTGGTGCTGACGGGTCATGCCCGCCCATCTCTGCCTGTTTGGGTGGGTGCTGTGCTGGTGGCTGTGTCCGCCTGTCCCCAGCATCACCCTGCAGGACCTGCTTTGTGTCTCTACCCCCGGCTGTCCCTCTCCAGAGGGGACAGGCCAGTCACCTCATCTCCTGCTACCTACAGCATAACCCCTTGGATTCGCAGAGATGCCCGGGGGGAACCTGTATCAGCCACCGGTGGCTCGAAGGGCAGGACCCTCCTAAGGGGCTGGTCTCCATCACAAGGGTGACCATCCTGCTCTGGAGCAGGGCACGTTTTCACCTTTTCTTTTCCAGCAGATACATCTCCATAAAGGGTTTAAATTAGGGGTCAACACTTAACAAATAGAGGAAAAAAAAAAAAAAAAAGAGCTAGACCAAAAAAAAATAATAATCAAGCACTCCTAGAAGCTGAAGAAAAATCACTTTGGGTCCAACTCCCAACTTACAAATTTGAGCCTGTTTTCTAAAACGGTCCGAGGCAAAACTTCATCCATCTGGAGACGGATCCAGACTCTGGCAGCTGCACCGAGCGCAGGGACACAGCCCGGCGCCCCCGAGCAGCCCTTGGCTATTTGGAGCCCTGCACGTGTCCAACAGCCGATAAGGAACCCCAGGAGCATGAGTGTGGGATACAAGAGGACAGTTGGGGCGTTTACGCGATCTTGAGGCTGTGACCAGACACAGAAAACCAGTGGGGAGGAAAAAAAAAAAAAAATCATCACTTTTTGGTACGAGCCCGGCGATCCTGCTCACAGCACCCCCAGCTGTCCTGCCTGGCCACCAGACCACGACGTCCCCACCACACAGCCCCTGCCAGCGTCGCCTTCTCGCAGCCAACAGCCCCCTCTGACCCGAGGGATCCACCCGTCACCCGAGGAGCTGCAGCTCCTGCCGCCCTCACGCCTGGGGGAGCAGGAGGGGGGCGAGGGCAGAGCCGTGCCCCTCACCCTGACTTACCTGGCTCGCAGCGCCCGCTCCATCCGTGCCACTGGCCATCCTGGCAAGTCCCGACGCCTCTCCTCGGTGCGCAGGTCCCAGCAGAGCCGCGAGTTCAACCTGCAACGTCCGTCGTACCAGGCTTAATCGTGTACTAGCAGCAAACGATTTCAGTTAAGCAATAAACAAACCTTGTAAAAATAAATTAAAAAAAAAAAAAAAGACCACGTTCTATTTCTTGCACTAAGACCTGTTTTATTAACGAGAATAACGACGCTTTTCTGGTCCTAACAAAACAACCCACCGCATCAGTAGGTTCCCCCTTGCCCAGCAGCTCCTGTCTCTCCACGTCCTTCACGAGTGGGCATTGGGCTTTGGATGTCAAACGCAGCCTAAACCCCAAGTCAGACCCACAGACCAGACTCCTTCCTTTGCAGTACAGAGTTTTAAATGTTCGTTCCTCCTGCTCACATCAGAAAGAAAGTATTGGAGTGTTTTGTTTTTCTTTAATTTGTAAATATATCACCATCCATCCATCCTCTCTGTAAAACCTCCTGGTTGTTCTAAAGTATTCTATGTATTTATTTGCCTTTTTTTAAAGCAAAAAAAAAAAAGACCCAACCCAACACCTTTGCGTTAACCACTTGTTCCAATGAGAAATGTATAGCTGAAGCTGTAACATTAACAGTTTACAGTGAGAAGATTTATGGACTACAGAAAAAAAAAATAATATAAGGACTTATAAACCGACTGCATGAGAGATGAAAGAAGGCCAAAATACTCAGATATCATTTTTTTGAATCACTGTAAAAAGAAAAGACTGGATTTTTTTGTATAGAGAACACTAAACATATAATAAAACATTGTTCAAAACTCATGCTAAGCCCGCAATTAATTTCCGTCAGCTTCCCAAAGGTAAAAGCCAGCGCTCACCCACAGCCGGCACTTGCCAAACACGTGGCCCTTCACACCTGTGCTGGTCCCCAACATCCCCCAGCTCCAGGGCCCACCCCCAGGAGGGGAGGCTGCTCCACGGGATGTTCCCCCCAAAACCATCCGCAGGGGAAGCGTCGCCCAGCCTCCTCACCGCTGCGGAGAGGACGCGCATCCGCCCAGCGGGTCAGTGCCCAAGCGGTTTAAAAACCTCCAGGTCTCTTTGGCTACCCTGGTAGACTTCTGTTAGTCCTTGGTTTATCCAGGCAAAGCAGCACAAGCCCTGGGCCAAGACTGGCCGGGATAAAACACCAGGGATTTGTTTTCAGAAGCGTCTCCCAACAGCCAGGTGCAGAGCTCAGCACCGCGCCGGGATGCGTAAGCAGCAGCCGGGGTGGCAGGATGGGAGCAAACCCCCCGGTTTGTCTCCTCACGACCATCCTGCGGGCACAGAGCTGGTTCCCAAAGCCCGTGCAAGCTCAGCACGGCAGTTCTGCATTTCTGCTGCTGCAACACGGCACGAGAAGCTCACCCAAAGGGTCTGGGGAGCGGCAGGTCTTCGCTCCCGTCGCACCCGGGATGACCTGGCACAGGCAGGGCAGTTCTCCCCACGTGTGTTTTTACAGCCCCCCGCCCCGTGCTCTGACATCTCCCTCCCACAGCCAGGAGATCTGTTCAGCTGTATTAAACAGCAGGAAACGCTTCGTTCATGAAAACCTGGTAGAGGCTGAAATACGGGAGCAGCTCGAAGCACCAGACCAAACCCATCAGAAGTATCCTGGGTGCACGGGGTGAGGGCGGCTGCAGAGGTGGGGAGCCCAGGAGCTGAGCTGGCAGCACCACGCAGGGCATCGGACGCAGGGAGGACAGCCCGTCCTCCAAGAGGATTTCAACCCGTGCCCTGTCTGATTGTCTGTCTGCCAGGTGAGTGCTGTGAAATCCGGAGAGTTTCGATTCTTTCCTAGCTGTCAACAAAGCTTTAAATAATTACACGTGGCTGCCAGCCCACGGGAAGCATTAGGGGAACCACTCAAAGGGCAGCAATACCTGCTCCAGATGACCTCGGAAGGAGCACATGGCTCCTCGCAGAGCCCCTGCTCACTGCCCCGGAGGCCAGCGAGGCCTCGGTGCAGGCAGTGCTATCTTTTTCAGGTGGGGAAACTGAGGCAGAAAGGAGCAAGGGCTGCCCAGCTACCCGGACGTACTCATGATGCTGGCTTGGCACGTTTGAGACACGCTGCGCTGGCAAACAGCAGCTCTGCATCCCTGCCAGCACCGGCTGCAGCACAAACACCCTCACAGCAGAAGCACACGCGGCGAGATGGAGACAGAAGCCCCCCCGCCGTGGCCCAGCAAACACAGGGGAGCATCAGGGTTTAAGCCGAGTCCCCCCCTCCTGAGCCAGCGCATCTTGGCAGAGGAGTGGTGAGCGATGCCTCCCTCAGGGGCCAATCCTGCACTCCCCAGCCCTTCCTGCCCCAAGGCTCTGAAGTGCTCTTACCAGCGGCTCCCTGGTGCAAAGCCTCGACGAGAATGGGCTGAGGGAAGGGGGAAGAACAGCAGAGCCTATCTGGCTAATGAAGATGTAATTGCTGCAGCCCTCACTAATGGGATGGAAGTATTAGTGATTCCTACTCAGTGTTGCGGCAGGAGGTTTATCTGCCCCTTCCCAACTCGAACAGCAGTGAGAGAAAAAAAAAAACAAAAAAAAACCACCAACACCTTTTGCCCAGTGTAGGAGACCTCCCCAGCACAGACTGGGGTGATGGTGGCACCAGCCACCCTCAGTCCCTGCCCCAAGGAAGGATGAAGGAGGAACTGTGCTTGGTCCTCGATGCAGAAATTCAAGCTAGCTGGAAGCCAGGGACCCCTGAACACCTCGGGGCCACCATTTCCCTCCGCCCACAGCCACGGGAACCAGCGGGGCCCACGGTCTCAGCCTCGCCACGGGCCACGCAGGCGGCTGCTGCCATCGTTCCCGTAGGACACACGGCGCTTTCATCATCCAGGAGCGGGCGACAACGCGCCCGTCCTCATCCTTGCGATCGATACGGGGAGACACACACGCATTAGCACTCGTCCCTTTTTACAGCACGATAACGACACCCGTATCTTCCCTGACCTCTGCCCGCCCAGTGGGGCGGCAGGACCCGATCGATGCCGACAGGCTGCCTCCCGTCCCCCTCCTCGGCAGCTCCAGCCTGTTGCCCATTACCATCGCTAAGAGCCAGCCACTGTCGGCACTGGGAGCAGCCCAGGGAGCCCTCGCAGAGCTGCTTCCTCCCCCAGCTGCTATCACTGTGATCTCAGCACGTGTGGGCACAAGGACAAACACCCAAGAGGTCACCAATGTCCTTGTCACCTGCGGAGGGACCCTCGGGGAGCTGCAGGGTCACAGGGCAGGTCCCACTCCCTGCACTGGGGACAGGACTCGTCACCTCTCCCGGCTTTCCCTCTGTGTGGTCCCTCCATTAGTCCTTTGCTGGGGTCAGGATCCAACCCTGTTCTTCCCTTCTGTCCGGCAAAAGCAGACAAGGTCTGGGAGAAGGGCTGCGGCCGGTTTCTCCCAGTCTCACCCCAAAATGGCAGTGGGGAGCAGAGAACGGGGCAAGCTGGGCAAGGGGAAGGGAGACGGGACCAGCAACATGCTCCACTCCATCACATTGCTGGAGGAGTCTGGACCGGTGGAGCTTTGCCAATCAATAGAGATACTAATGCCTTAATTACTCCTCTGTAATTGCAGGCCATTAACCTGTGGACAGCCCCAGCGCCCATTGATCTCCTTACATCATTAACGGGTCTGGGCTGGAAGGGATGGAGAGCGCAGGGTGGTCTCTGATGAGCTCCCGAATCCTTCGTTTCCCATCTCGTTGCACGCAGTCGGGCAGCGACCTGCCCACGGGCAAACCCCCACCCCACAGGGGTCCTCTGCTCGCTCAGCCACGCTGGGACCAGCAGCACCTCCTGCCCACAAACCTCAGCGCCTGCGGGGTACGACGGAGGAAGTCCTGGAGCATCCCTGCCACATCTCATAGCATCACCTCCACCCGGACAGCCCTTTCCTCCCACAGCCAGAAAACAGCAAAGATCTTGTGGCTGCAAATATTCACGGGGAAGGGCTCTGGGTGCAGCCTCGGGCTGGGGGGGGGCACAGCTGCTGTTTGCAGGGTGTTGTCAACACGGGCAAGCCCAGCCCTAAGCCCCTTGGACCACAGCAACAGCCAAAGGTGGCTCCAGCACATCCAAAAACCCAAAGCTGAGCCCGGCTGCCACCCCCGGCACCACGCAGAGCCCCCCCCCCTTGGACACACACCACTAACCCCACTGTCAGGAAGCCCCATCCTCCCCGGCGCGGCGTGGGTCGGGTACCACCTTGATGTAGCTTCAAATTTTCCTATAAAACAATCTTCCCAGCACACATAAGCCTGGTTCTGTGTGTGCACATCCCAGTACACATATATTTAGGCACGGGGGTGTGCATATGTACAGAAACATGCACACACTGCACGGGGCCCAGCTGGGGCTAATCTTTCCTGCTTCCACCCCGCAGATATGAGCTCGGACCCCCCACCCCGGCTCCCCCAGTT